GTCTTTATAGACGCTCAGAGATGGCTGCTGCCAAACATTTCTAGAATTTCTCTTCCCCTGCCCCAGCCGCTCACGCACCTTTGCTGAGTTGATACAACCACTGGTTCTTGGAATCCTCATGTTCTTCTCCCTGTCTAATGTCATGGCTCTGTTTGCCTCACATTTACTGTTCTAAAATCACCACTCATTATTTGATTCTCTTTGTGTGGGTCTTCGGTCATAATGAGAGGGTGTAAACCTACCAAGAGTAATCAACATTATTCCACACACACTTCTGAATGAACACAAGTACTCTCTAATTAGACAACAAGAATACTGTTCTAATCACTATTTAAATTGTAAATTACAACTCCATGGAAACATTTTCTTTGCACCATCTGGCTTTATGTATTTTTTTAATGAGTTGATGAGTATTTATATATTTTACAAGGAACAGATAGTAAAGCATTTGTTCCATTAGGAAGTGAAATAAAGATTTTTCAAAACTGAATTTGTATAAAATTCATTGCACTAAACATTTTAAATTTTGCCAAAACACCACAGTTTTGGCGAAGGCTTCATGGGACTCATTTTACTCAATGAACATCTGCTAAGAAAGCTGCACATTTTTCCTAGTGATGTTGAACTTGACTCCTGTGTAGAAGTGAAAGCACATCTTCATTACAAACAGCACCTCGACTGATACTTTTGTCCTTATGATTTCAGTACTACAATTGTAATATTAAAATAACCAATACAGATTCTTGCTACTGAACAGTATCACTCAGATACAGGGAGGAAGATGCTATTACAATACAAAGATTTTGGGAACTAGCAATCATCTGAACTCCACAGGAGATGAGAAAATGACAGGATCTCGAAATACTCGAAATAAAGAAAACCTTTTTGAAATGAGCAAATGTGAATAACACCTTTGCATGTCTGCCTTTGGTCTTCCTAAAATGCCTGTCACTCTTTCTCTAAAAAAACACAATTTATTGGTTTTGTATATACAAAAATTAAAAGCAGCACTAAATTATTAAGTCAAAGCCCCTTGAAGTTAAATCTTATTACTAACTTAGTGGCTGCACCTGATTTTATATGAGCTAGGTGTTATCAGCTGGCACTATGCCACTAAAAGTGGTAATTCTTTGTGGTTTTGAGAAGCCTCAAACATCATCCTTAAATAATCCCAAGTGAGAAGCTTAAAAAGAGGCTTATCAGAAAAGATATATTGTCAAATTTTGATTTTGTAAACAGATTAATTTAAACAGTGTCTAACTACTGAGCATTAAAAGCTGTCAAAGCAAGGGTTTGTTGTACAGACAGAAAGAGCCATACCAGTAAGTGCTTCTTACTTAGAAAAATTTGCTGCTAGTGTTGGAACATTCATTCCTAAAACCAACAAGAAAATCCCAGCTGGTCTGCACTGGCTAGTGAAGGATTTACTTAGTGATGAGAAGAACAGTATGAGTAAAACAGCTGAAACCAAAAGACAGACTATTATGTGACCACTGTGTACTAGACACGATTTCTACAGTCAGTTGATCATTGTCTCTAGTTTCTTCCCACTTACAGTATCAGACATCAGTCTGCTCAGTTCTCTTGTCCCATATCTCTGAGCTCCTTCTTTCATCACTCTGTACGTTTCAGCATCTGGATTCTTACTGGAAGTGAAAATCCTGTTCTTGGAGAACATGCTGATAATATTGGATAGAACAAATCTGAAGATAGTTTGTTCCTTCCAGCTGCGTTCTGTCATTAATGTCTACTCTAGCACTCAAGCAGCATGTTTGTAATCAGCATGGTTTCAAAGATGGTTTGGCCTTAAGAAATTTCTGCCTCCCTTTGCTCCTGGCCATTGGGTTTCTGTATTTTGTACTCCAGCTCAGTGCTCCTTCAGTAATGATATGGTGCCTATTTGTGAGGCTGCCCTGCCAATAGATCCCTGAAATGATACAGGTAAACATGACTTCTTTTTTTTGGCTGTTGTTTTTAAGTCAGATCCTTACAGGGGCTCAGGCCACAGCTCCACCTGACACTGTTTTTTAGTGGCATCATTGGGAGTGGCAAACTTCCACTGGGAGGGAATGGAACATACAAGCAGGAATGTAAACAAGTTTGACGGGTGAAACCACTGGATGGTGAAGCCGCACCAGAGTCAGCAGCCGCCTTTTAGAAAACAGGTCCTGTATTCTTGCTGTCAACTTCAAAACATGTACATGCTATTAATCTAACTGTCCTTCAAGAGAAGAATCTGCCCAGCAGTATCTTGTTATTATGCTGTGACTGTATCACTAGCATTTGTCCACTATGTCTTAAGTTTCAGAGCCTGGCACATCTGTTAGGTTGAGACTTCTGCAACTTCTTGCTTTAACCAGCTGTATGTCATGCTTGTGATGTTCAAGTTACATCTGTCGACAGTTAATAGCATGTGACCTCCTGCTTCAGCTGTTAAATAAAGTTACTCTTTGCTTGACCTGCTGTTCCAACAGACATTTGCACTTGGTTTGTCAATCGCATTTCTGCTGACATCACTGAGGTAAGCCCAGCTCCCATAGTGAAGTAAATCATGGCAACTGCAAGGAGCACAACACAAAATAAGAGTCTGATCCGTATCTTTGCTATTTTCCCTTTTATTTCAAATTCCCAGTGGGTTAGCAGCAGTTCAAAAAACCTAGCTACTTTTGAAGTATACTGCATTTAGTAAAGATAACTTAGACTCATCAGCAACTGTTAATAGAAATTCTCCCAGATATGAGCTTAAGAATAAACAAGGATGCGCTACAAGGTCAATTTACTGCAAGCCAAATGAAATTATTTATAGACTACAGCCTGTGCTTTTGCATTATTAGTTCTTAACAGAATGTTTCAAAGATGTAGGGCCTCAGCTCTCAGGTTGGATGCCACTGGCATTGGGATGGGGGGAGGAAGGGGAGTCTGTACTCAGTGACATGCCTACTGACAACCCAAATGATGTGAACCCCACATTGCAGCAGCCAGTGCCAAACAGAGTGTCAGGGGTTACAGCCTTCTGAACTCCTGATAAAGCCGTATATGTCTCAGAAATATTTTTCAAATACAGCTTGATACTGTAAAATAAATTGCAGGTAATACAGTTGTGACACGATACATTAGGATCTCCTAGGCAGAGATCCAACAAGTCGAGTGGTCCCTGCCAACACACCAGCTCTCAGTCGTGTAGAAGGGACCAACACCAACAAATTCATGTGCTGAAATGTGTCTTGTTTGCTATCATTGCCATTCAAATTTTTGTTTTGTCTATCAGTGTTGCACTGGTGTAAAAGGAAAAAGTTAACTGGCTCAAAATTCAATCATATGCATTCTTAATTTGATTCACACCAAGCTTATTAGTTTAGGCTCATTAGATAAAGAATCAGAACTGAAATTAGTAATGAAAAAATATATTTGTTTGAAATGACACCATTCAATTTGTGCAAACACCTGAATTTCTACATCAGAAAAATGACTGTCAAATATAAGGAACTTCATAGTACACCTCATCCTAATAAAAATTAAATCAATCATCAAAATTAAAATTCTTATTAACCTACAAGTGGTCCTAATTTGATCACTTCTGTAATAAAAAACAGAAAAGTGGGCAAATCAGTAATATAATTAGCTACTACTTTTAAAAAGTGATTTTCACAAAACTGAAAATAACTATGAGTCCTTTGAGGCCTTTGAGGAAAGGACCCAAACCAAAAAATATAAATTAGGAGTTGCTAATGAACATTCAATCAGTTAACCTTTAGAAGGCAATCAGGACAAAACCCAAACATAGTTCAAATGCCATACTAGTGTAGTGGGAAAGTGAAAATAATTGTAACAGCCCGACCAGTGCATTCTGTTGATGAGAAAGGAGAAGATAATATTGCTTTGTTAATTAAATGTAGGAGTTAAACAAATGTAAGTGTTGTTGAGAGATTTTTGCCACCAAAGAGAGAGGCAATTGAATGTAGGTGCAAGGCAAATTCTAACAATGATATTAGTAAAGAGAAATGTAAGAACTGTTAACAGTGCTTTAAAAAATGTGTTCAATAAATAGCTTTGTATTCTGGGGAAATAGGTAAGTATTATCATGCAGGACAAAGGTGAAATACTTTCCACTAACAGTGTACTTTTAAGAAAAATTTAAACAGCGGTAGTAAAGCTAGGTGATTTGTATCAGTCAGCCAGGATAACTTGCATGCAGGTTTTTAAAAGAGCTTTTTGGAACCTCTTTTTGATCTCCAATTATGATTCTCAATAAATCCTGGGAGTTCCAAAGAACAGGAAGAAAGCTAACAGAGTGACTATGTTAAAAGAAGGTAAAAGCAATTACCCGGGTTAATTACATGCTTGTCATCTTGATTGCAATCCTCAGCAAAATATCCAAGTGGCTCATATAGGACTAAATTAATAAATATTTGACTATAATTACTACTCAGAAAAGACACTTCCGGAAAACAGATCTTGTAATGCTATTACTATTCTTTATGCAAATGCTTCTTCAATAGAAGTAACAGTGATGTTATATCCTTAAGCTTTGGTTTGGCACTTGACCTGGTACAGCAAAACATTTTAATTAAAAAAACTAGAAAGATAAAAAAAATCAGAATGCCACACAGTAAGTGGACTGTGGATAATTAGCTGGCCTCAAAACACAAAAGAGGAACGAGCAGCACACATGTCTGTGAGTGATTCAGATCCTCTGGAGATCAGTTTTGTCCGTTGGCTATTCGTTCTTACCAGTGATCTCAAAGAAGCTATACCGAATTATCACCAAGTCAGAACAGCAAAGGATGCAAGAACTGCAGGTGTGGGAAACAGTGGCTGGGGTGCGGGC